GCCATGTGGCCCCGCCCCCCCCCCGATCCTGCCCATCCCGCGCCTCGCCCATGGCCCCGCCCACGCCCATCCCACCACGCCCTGGACACGCCCACCCCAAACTGATCGCACCCCCAGACCAAAACGCACCCTGAAACACGCCCTTTTCTGCCCTGAGCACACGCAGCCACGCCCAACAGCCCTCCCAGCCATGGCCCCGCCCACCGGGCTCCTTGGTCACGCCCCCACCGGGACCACCTGGGCCCTGGTCCTGCCCTCATCACACCCCAACCTTGGTCCGGCCCTGAACCCGCCTCCCCCGAGCAGGCCCGGGTCCAGCTGCCTCTCACCATCAAAGAGGCCGAAGAATGTCTCTCTCTCATCCCTGATGTCCAGACGGTAGGTCTCTGGGAAAAATTCTTCCATTTTCAGAATCCTGGGGAGCAGGGAGGTGGGGGCATGCTAGGGCTGTCTCCCTCCTGCAAGGGTGAGGGCCGCTGGGAAGCTGGGCTGGGCTCCAGGCACCCGTCTCCACCCCCTCCACCCTTTCCCTCTGCAGCCTGCACACCCTCTGCTCCCTGCCAGAGCTCGCGTGGCCGGACCCTGGCACACCTGGCCCCCACAGGCTGCCGCTGCCCCGCCCTCTCCACTCCCCGCTCTTCCTGGGGAGGCCGTCTGCTACCTGCGTGGCTCAGGACTTGTGAGTGGCCAGTTCAGAGCGGCCAGTGTCCCCAGGGAAGGACAGTGCCCGGACGCAGCGAGCATGGATTCCTGAGCACCGTCCACTGGCCTGGGGTGCCCTTTAACTCTCTGTCACCTCACACCAGGCCATCCTTCAAGTTAGGGCAGAATGGCCCCCCCAGCTGGGCTGAGTGTGTCTACCTTTGTGACTCGAGGGGTCCTGGGCTGGTCCATGGGAGCTCCTCCAGAGCGGGTGTGGGGTCCCTTCCAGATCTGCACCCCAGGGGGACACAGGGCCTGGCCTGAGTGTCCACTGAGGAGTGTGTGGAGGCTGGACGGGTGGGTGTGGGTCTGGAGAGACGGGCAATGGGTGGAGGCTTTGAAGTAGTGGGTGGGTGCGTGGATGGGTGGTGGTTGGGTAAGTGGATCTGGGATGGAAGTAGGTGGATGGATGGACAGGTGGCTCGGTGGGCGACCTGCCTGGAGAGGGACAGGTGAGAGGTGCTGACTGACATGGGAGGTGGACAACTGGATGTGTGGCTGTAAAGATGGTGTCGTGGTGACCAGGTGGGTGGGCTGCCCGCCTGGTGGAAGGTGGACAGTGGCTGGGTGGGTGGGCAGACGTGTAAATTGTTGGGCAGTGAGTGGGTGAGTGGGTGGCCAGGTGGACACCAGGTAGCTGAGCCTGCTGAGTGGCTCCGGCAGGGCCAGTGCTGGGTGAAGGGGCAGAGGACAGTGAGGGTAGAGGGGCTGTGGGAACGGGTTCGGGGACGGATGGCACAGGTGTGGTGGGCGATGAATGACTCAACGAGGGACACCAGTGGGTGGCTCTGTGCTGGGTGCTGTGTACGGCCTCTGGGGGGCTGGGGGGCTGTAATGGGTGGCAGGTGTTTGGGGTGGAGACAGATGGGTGAGTGCGTGGTGGGAGGATGGGTGGGTGGATGGCTGTAGGTGGTGGACAGAATGGAGGGTGGTCAGGACCAGAGACTGACTGACATGTCAGATGGGCGGGTGTGCCGCTGAGGACGGGTGGGGTGGCGGGATGGGTGGCAGGATGGGTGGGTGCATGGGGGGCCGATGGGGGGTGTCCAGTGATGGTGGGGAGCCAGGGCGGCGTACTTGGCCTGTGGGCACGGCGATGTCCTGTTGACCCTGCTGATGACCCTGGCGTACTCCCTGAGGGCGTTGAGAAGCCCGATCTTGGTGGTGAGCAGTTTGTTGTTGGGGAGCTGGTACAGCAGCTGCTCGCCTGGCACGACAAAGCCCTGGGCAGCATGCGGGGGACGGCTGCAGGGCCCCAGCCGCCCAGGCCGCCAGGGCTCCCAGCTGGAGCGGGCAGCCACTCTCCCAGGCCCTGGCCCGGGGTCCTTGCTGGCTACAGGCCCAAGCCCCGCCCCTCCCGGCTACCTTCTCGGAAGTGGAGGTAGCTGTCTCGACACTTGACCTCGCACCACTTGAGCTTGTAGTCCTCGCGCTGGCTGTCCTGGATGCGCTGCCAGCCCTTGCTCTTGCAGTAGGAGCTGATTCTGTGGGGCCCGGGGCAGACCTGACACTGGGGCCTTAGGACCTGGGGGGGTGGGGCTTGCCAGGGAGGGGACCAGG